AGCCTAACCGTGCGGTCGAATCCCCCCGACGCGAGGACAGCCGTTCTCGCACCCCTCCTGGCCTGTCAGCAAAAGCTCGTGGTGCCCCCCCCCGCATTGCCAGCCCTGCTCGCCCCGCCCGTCGACCTACATCAGCCATACCAAAGACAGCGCGGAGTGGGCGTCACACCGGCCCCACCCGCGGCCGCACGCCGACCAGAGCAGGCTCAACAAGCACATACCAGGGGCAAACACGCGCAATCCCTATCCCGGCCCGTGCGGTTACACCGAAGCCAAAACCGAAGCCGTCGCCGAACCCGGCACCGAAGCCTTACCGAACTCCTCCACCGGCCAAACCGCCCAAAAGTATTCCTTTTCGGGTTTGGTTTAGCACCTAAACTCATTCTATGGTTTCTCCTCGAGGGTATGGGGAGTAGGGGGCCGGAAGGTTGGAAGCCTGAAAGCTTCAAAGCCTCTCAAACGCCCTGAAGCCTCAAAGCTTCAAAGCCTCTTAGACGCTGCCGCTGCGACGCTTGAGATGCTTGACACGCTTGATGCAACCTGTTAATCCCTCCTAGCAGCCCCTAAAGGGGGCGGCCCCCCCGGCAATGCATTTCGGCAGGGTCTGGAATGTATTGGAGGGGTCTGTTGGGGGGTGTCCGGGGGTTGCGACTGAAGGCTTCCATGCCATCGACGTAATTGCATATTTATATATGTCGTTATGATGTTTAAAAATATGCTGGACAAGACTTGCGCTTACTTTTAAGTTTGTTTTCTATTGCATTTCAAATTGGCCTCTCTCTCTCTCTCTCTCTTTCCCTCACCCCTTGCACGGCTTGTCGAATCACGCTTCTTTTCTTTCAGGGCTCGAACGAAAGCTTCGAGTCACTGCACCAGCAGCTCGTGGCACGACCTTCGAGTCACTCCACTGGCAGCTCGCGGCACGTGTTTCAAGTCACTCCAACGGCAGCTCAGGCACGACTCTCGAGTCACTCCACTGGCAGCTCTCAGGCACGACTGACTTTCGAGTCACTCCACCGGCAGCTCAGGCACGACTTTGTCCACATGTGCCAGGAAGTTCATGAACGGCTCCGTTCCACACACACATGTGGGGGCGATCGAGCGGAACCGCATGCAGACCTTTCGCGAAAACTCCTTGCTAGACAAGGTCTTGGCAGCCATCTCGCCGTGCTTCAGGACCGTTGCAAAATACCCAGGTGCTCGCTGCAATAGGGAATCCCACGACGGCCTAGGCATGTTTCCGCTAGGGTTTGAGGGTTGAGGCTTTAGGATGGTTTAGGTCTGGAGTTGAGGTCAGCAATAAAAGAAAAGGAAAAACCATCCACTGAAATGTGGCAAAGTTGCCTGACACTGCCAGACCACAATCGCACACAGCCGTCCTGCGTGCATAGCGGCTTGCCCGCAGTGCTTGCAAACATCTTCCGCATGATCTCCATGTACGCGCGGATGTTCGCGAAGCCGGCCTCCGACGAAGGTCGGCTCCTCCAGCTCCTTCACTGCTCTGATGCCCATGGCTGCTGAGCTGTCCACCTCCAGTAGCAAGGTCGTCGAGGTGCATCGAACCTTGAACCATCCCGGTGCCACCTCCATCAGCAAGCGGGGAAGGTCCTCGCGGTCCTCGTGCGGACCCATGCAAAGGCAGGGACTGCAGCAGGTAGCTCGAAAGATGCTCGACTCATCTTTCACAGGCTGCAGCAACACCAGCTGCAAACCAGTGCACTCCTGCGCAGGGAGTGCCTCCTCGTGAGGCTTGCTGCCGCTTCGCTTCTTCCCATGGCTGCTTCGGAAGACCCTGCTGACGAGGGCCATCTGGTTCTCGCCCAGAGGGTGCAGGCGAATGACGACCAGATGGTAGTCTCGGGACATACTGGCATCCAAAACATTGGAGGGTCGAAAGCAGGTCGGAGCTCGCAGGATCGCCTCGTCCTTCTTGCACCCTGCCACTGTCACTGCAACCTCCTGGGCTTTGTCGGCCACCAACCTCGAAAAGCACCAGCTGGCGGCTCGGCCCTGCTTCGCACCTTGCAATCCAAAGCCACGTTGGGTTTCGGAGAGGTCCTTCTGCAATTGATTCCACTGTGACAAGGGTCGCTCTGGTTGTTGCACCTGGCCAGGCCGCAAGAAGGCTTCGCCCAACCTCATCGGCTTCGGTCCTCTCCTGTTCCCGGGCCCTTGTGCCCTTGTGCCCTTGTGCCCATGTGCCCTTGCGCCCTTGTGCCCTTGTGCCCTTGTGCCCTTGTGCCCTGGTGTCCTTGTGCCCTTGTGCCCTGGTGTCCTTGTGCACTGGCATCGGGCTTGTCAAGCTGGTATGAAGTTTCGAACGCCTCGCTTTCGTTCCTGTTCTTTTGCTGGTGATGCCAGGATGCTTATAGCATGTGTATTTATGTTTATATGTGTACATGCATATATTTACCTTTATATGTATGTGTATATAAGTATGTTTGTATGTATGTTTATATATTTATATGTTTACATGTGTACATGTATGTACATGTATATGTGTACATGTATATATATATATATATGTATATATGGAGCGTGGGGGCAATGGGTGCAGCACCTCACAGTTGCGCGGTGCGTCGGTGCACCGCATGCAACTCGGTTGCGCCGATGCGCCAGCCAGTGCGCCGTTGCGCCGCTGGAACACGGATGCGCCGATGTACCGGTGCGCCGGTGCGCCGACCCCCATGGATGCGCCGGTGCGCCGACGCCGGCTGCGCCGCTTGCGCCAACTGCGCAGCTTGTGGAGCCTTGGACTGATGGGGCGCCCCTGATTTTAAAATCAGAACTCTTACCACCCTTGAACTCCGAGGATGGAGCCTTGGACTGATACGGCGCCCCTGATTTTAAAATCAAAACTCTCACCACCCCTTGAACTCCGAGGATGGAGCCTTGGACTGACGGGGCGCCCTTGATTTTGAAAAAACAGAACTCTTACCACCCTTGAACTCCGAGGATGGAGCCTCGGACTGATAGGGCGGTCCTGCCTTTAGAACCAGAAGTCTTATCACCCTTGAACACCCCTGGTTTTAAAATCAGAACTCTTATCACCATTGACCTCCGAGGATGGAGCCTGGGACTGATGGGACCCCCTGGGTTGAAAATGAGAACTCTTATCACCCTTGAACTCCGAGGATGGAGCCTGGGACTGATGGAGCGCCCCTGGCTTGAAAATAAAAACTCTAATCACCCTTGAACTCCGAGGATGAAGCCCTGGCATGATGGGGCGTCCCTGATTTCAATATCAGAAGTCTTATCGCCTTTGAACTCCGAGGATGGAGCCTTGGACTGATGGGGTGCCCCTGATTTTAAAATCAGAACTCTCACCACCCTTGAACTCCGGGGATGGAGCCTCGGACTGATGGGGCGGTCCTGACTTTAAAACCAGAAGTCTTATCACCCTTGAACTCCGAGGATGGAGCCTCGGACTGATGGGGCGCCCCTGATTTCAATATCAGAACTCTTATCACCATTGAACTCCGAGGATGGAGCCTGGGACTGATGGGGCGCCCCTGGATGAAAAATGAGAACTCTTACCACCCTTGAACTCCGAGGATGGAGCCTCGAACTGATGGGGCGCCCCTGAGTTTAAAATCAGAACTCTTACCACCCTTGAACTCCGAGGAGGGAGCCTCGGACTGATAGGGCGGTCCTGTCTTTAAAACCAGAAGTCTTATCACCCTTGAACACCCCTGATTTTAAAATCAGAGCTCTTATCACCATTGACCTCCGAGGAAGGAGCCTGGGACTGATGGGACCCCCTGGATTGAAAATCAGAACTCTAATCACCATTGAACTCCGAGGATGGAGCCTGGGACTGATGGGGCGGCCCTGATTTTAAAATCAGAACTCTTACCACCCTTGAACTCCGAGGATGGAGCCTTGGACTGATGGGGCGCCCCTGACTTCAAAATCAGAACTCTTACCACCCTTGAACTCCGAGGATGGAGCCTCGGACTGATGGGGCGCCCCTGATTTTAAAATCAAAACTCTCACCACCCCTTGAACTCCGAGGATGGAGCCTTGGACTGACGGGGTGCCCTTGATTTTGAAAAAACAGAACTCCTGACCACCCTTGAACTCCGAGGATGGAGCCTTGGACTAATGTGGAGCCCCTGATTTCAGAATCAGAACTCTTATCACCATTGAACTCCGAGGACGGAGCCTCGGACTGATAGGGCGGTCCTGTCTTTAAAACCAGAAGTCTTATCACCCTTGAACTCCGAGGATGGAGCCTCGGACTGATGGGGCGCCCCTGATTTTAAAATCACAACTCTATTCATGTTTATATGTATACATGTGTACATGTATATGTGTATATGTGTATGGGTAATTATGTATTGCTTGTGTAGATGCATATATTTAGATGTGTATATATGTATATATGTATAAATGTATATATGTATATGTGTACACGTGTTTTGTGTATATATGTGTACGTGTACATATGTATATGTGTATGTATGTATGCATGCATGCATGTATGTATGTATATATATATATATATATATATCAAAATGTATATATGTACATAAGTAATTATGTGCATGTTTATATACGTATATGTGTATATATGTATAGATGTATATATATATATATATATATATATATATGTACATCTGTACTTTTGTATATGTACATACATATGTATGTTTTATACGTGTTATATGTATATGTGTACATATGTAGAAATGTATACATGTGTATATGTATACTTGTATATTTGTATATATGTCTATGTGCATTCGCGCTCTTGTGCCCTTGTGCCCGTATGCCCTCATGCCCTTGTGCCCTTGTGCCCTTGTGCCCTTGTGCCCTTGTGCCCTTGTGCCCTTGTGCCCCTGTGCCCTTGTTCCCTTGTGCCCTTGTGACCTTGTGCCCTTGTGCCCTTGTGCCCTTGCCGTTGCCGTGCCCTTGCCGTGCCCTTGTGCCCTTGTGCCCTTGCGCCCTTGTGCCCGGGATCACTGGGGGACCTCTCTCACCTCATCTGTGCGATGAACCGGAGCTGGTCCGGAGCCAGCTTCTGCAGTCGGATCAGCATCGCATGCTCGGAGTCACCATCGATCGGCTCGTACTTGTCCAAGCCATGCTTCCGCAGAGTGGCCTCCAGTGTCATCGCGGGCTGCTCGTCCGTCACTGTCACAGGATCATTTGCAGGCGGCGGAACCGGATCCTTCGCAGCCTTTGCAGCAAGGTCACCAGACGTCGAAGCGGGATTCTTTGCAACCAGGTCACCAGATGTCGAAGCGGGATCCTCTGCAACAAGGTCACCAGAGGTCGAAGCGGGATCCTGTACATCTGTGATGCCTTGGCCATGGCATCTTCCAGGCGGTACATCTCTGCAAGGGCTTCGGACTCTTTCTGCAAGCATGCCAGGGTCTGGGCAACTTCTAGGTTCTGGTCGAGCTCGGGGTTCGCAGGGTCCACGGCACAGTCTTCGACGTCCGAGTGGGCCTCCTCCTCATCCTGCAGCTCCTGCACCAAAGCATTCGAGACACGACTCAGTATATGGATATGCATAATTACTCATAAATACACATAGTTATTGTATGAGAAAAAAGAAGCGCTTACGAAAACTCACCTCTTGGCTGTGACAGGACCGCAGCCGATCTGCAACCATCTGCTTGCCAATGACGTTCCACCAGTTTTGCAAGGCAGCCCGCATGTCAGCAGCACTTTTGCCAACGCTCGTCAAGGCTTTGTACGTGCACACGGTCTCCAAGGCTCGTTTCCCGGCCTGGCTGGCTTCAGCATCCGTCAGTGCTTTCCAGGGAAGCAGCTTTTTCTTGTCGACTGCAAAGCTAGCCATGGCCTTCTTGCGACGCACGTGAAGCAGCTGGGTGGTGTGCAGGGCAGCTCGGATGGTCGGCAGGCGATGGACAATGCCACTTTTCACTTCTCCGAAATGGAACTCGTTGGAGTCTTCCATGCACGCGGACGGTCGAAAAGGGCAGCCAGCAGGCCAGTTGGCCATTCGCTCCACCAAGTGCCCGCATATAGCAAGCAGGTTCCCCTGCGTTATCGGATGAAAGTACCGAGTGCTCGAGCCCCCCTGTCTCCATGAGGTCGAAGAGAAGGAGGTAGTAGCCGCACAACGCACACTGCAGGAGGTCCGAGGCATCCGTGAAGATATGGGAGCTGAGCCAAGTCCCACACCAAAGCCCGATCACGAACATCCAGGCCACCAAGCCCAAGCTGTCCCACTGCTGCACGTCCACACACTGTGGGTTCAACAACCAGCTCGACTGCATGTCGGACTGGTTGTCCGTCCCCCGCCATGCAGAAGTCGGCAATCCTCGAGTCAACATCAACTGCGGCCACACCTACCAACCACATTTCAGGTGGTTCGAGTGCTCAGAAGGAGCAAGAAATGCACACGTACACCCGCTCAAACCACCTTTTAAGTGGTTCGAGTGCTCAAGCATGAACTTCCAACCCAAATGGCTGCTGCTCGGTTGGTTTGTGCGGCAGGTCTGTTTGTGCGTAGATCTTACATGATTTTGACTCTGTTGGAGCTGTTGTGAGGCTTCCTTGGGAGACACAAGACCAGTATTGGATCGTCTCTGTGTCTGAGATCGGTGCGATTTCGTCTGCTGGTGGCCTCGATGCTTTCCGTCTCCTGACAACGAGCGAGCAGAGGGCTGCGGTGCCCAAGGAGCCGTACCTTGTATCCCCCTCAAATCATTTCGAACTCCTTCCTGAAATGCCTCGTGAAATCTGCCAGGACTGCCTTGCCGTTCTGTGGTCGAACGAGTTCCAAGACATGGTGGCTTGGATATGGAGACAGCGCTGGACAACTCTGCAGGCGGGGAAACGTACACACACACACAGAAATGCTGCTTCGGATTTGTATACTTTTGTTGGGTGACGTACAAAGTAGTGCTGCTTCTGAAACCAGGGCTTTGTATGCTTTTGTTGGGCGACGTAAGCCATCCCCTGCCGCGGTTTGGGCGGTGCTCCCGGGGAATCCCCGTGCAAGCGAAATGCATTGGACCCGTGGGACGGGTCCAATACATTAGTCGGAGTGTCGGGTCTTCTAGGAGATTTCAGGATTCTATGGGGTTCGTGCTGTCCGTAGGCCAGCAGTACCACAGCATGTTCCTGGAAGAATCCCCGCCCGCCCAGAATGTATTGGACCCGTGGGGCGGGTCCAATACATTAATCGGCCCAGGCACGGTTGCCGGCGACCCTGTGGCACGACGTCAACCAGAACCACGAAAGCTTGGGTCAGTTCGGGCAGGATCACACCAGATCCTGCACATGGGTTTGCCTTGAGCTGGCTCGATGGTACTTGGTATCTTCGACTAGCCGGCAGCTGCCTTGGCAGGCGGGGATCGTGAAATGTATTGGACCCGGGGGACGGGTCCAATACATTTCAGGATTGTTGAAGTCAGCTTTGCGTGGATAGGACTTTGGCCTAGGAAACCCTGCAACGTTCTCCCAGTGCCTCCTAGGGCTTCCTACCACCGAATAATGTATTGGGCCCGGGGGACGGGTCCAATACATTCTGTCCTGGCCAGGAATACCTTCGTGTTTGGTCGCTGCTAAGGCAGGCAGCAGTCTGGGTTGAGAAGTACAACAAGCTGGTGGACCCGGAGATTCGGACGATTTTGGGGGATTCGTGGAATGCCTCCGACAAGTATTGTGTGCCCACAGAGGTGAAGCATCAGCTGCTTGATGGGATCTGTTCGGGCGACGAATCATTTGCTCCTATGAAAGCCTTGTTCCAGTGCCAGCTTACAGAGCTTTGCATGGCGACGCCTCTTCACAAGGCGTTGGACGCCCTGGAGGCTTTCCGTACCAAGCCTCCCGCCGAAGGTCTTCTGGCCTTCGTCCTGGTGAGCAGGGATAAAGCCTCGACTGTTCTCGCCAGCTCAGACACGACAGTTCCTTGCCTGCACTACGACTCCCATGTCTGCACTCTATGGGACCTGGACAAGTCAGCAAGCTTCCTGTTCACCTCCGCTGCCATGCTTTTGCAACATCTGACAAACACGAATGGCGATCTCTACAAGCCGGATGGCCTGACACACCTGTGGGCCTTCAGCCTGGCCTCGCAAAAGACCCAGGCCGCTCCGTACTTGGACGACATCCTTCGCTTCACGTCTGCTTCTGATCAGTTGGCCCCTGGCACTGCAGCAGGGATCAAGCTGGAGGCTGCCCCGTCCTTGGTGGTAGGACAGAAGATTTTCCGGGCGAGGATGAGCAGTGGTGTCATCGAAATAGAGGCCCAGCGAGCGGCTCGCATCCTGCACTGCCGAACCTGCCGAGTGAAGCCAGCAGGAAGCCCTCGCTAAAACGAGAACATCCGGAGCCTGCTGCTCCACCTGTGCTTGTGTATGATGACGACGATGATGGGGGTGCCAAGCCTGGCAAGCCAGCTTCGAAGCTTAGCAGAAAGCAGCGCCTGGATCTTCAGGCGGTGGCGGGCAAAAAAACAGCAGCCAGCCGGGGAATAACGTACCATGAGCGCTTTGCTCCGGCGCACCAGTACATGGTGCCCCCAAAGCACTGGGGCCAGTTCCTGCAAGACATCTACAAAGGCGAGAACAGTGACTGCGAGCGGTGTCAGAGGCTGCTTCTGGAGTTGCGAAAGAACGGGGCTGAGGATGCACCTTGCTGCACTATGCTGCAATGCTTTGTAGAGTTATGATTTCGAGATATTCAGGGTGTTTCAGGCGCGGGGAGGGGGAGGGGGTCGTATGGTCGACAATCTGTGGCATCCGAGGGTCACAGTGCTTTGGTGGCCGTCGGGCCCCAGCAGACGGACAATGAGCGAGCATTCCAGCAGCGTCTCAGGGAACTGAAGATCGAGGAGAACGTCGATCAAGTGAAGAAAGGCCGGCGAGCGAAGGGTCAGGAGCGGGCGCTGCATGAGGACTTGTTCGAGTGGCTACGCCAGCGCCGCCAGGATCAGTATGTCAACCTAGAGACTGCCAAGCTGCACCTTCGTTGCACCTGCTGCGGGGAGACCTTTGCCGCAGTCCGCGATACAACGATACTGTTCGAAGCTGCAGCACGAAGCTCGGCAGAACCACGTGGACTCGGTGCTGCAGGTCCGCCAGCGGCCCTGTCTCGGTGTTGACCTCAACTGCATCGACCACCAGACGAGAGCACATCTCATGGTCGATGCGTTCAAACTGTGGACTACCTATGACAATCCCTGGTTCCACACGAGCTTCAAGTGTCAGGTGAAGCTGCAGGACGATGGCAAACTGTTGGTGCACTCACTGAAGTGCCTCGAGGCGGACGAGGTCCGGATGTGCCCTCCAAGCCGTCCGTTCTGCAAATCTTGCTTTGGACTTTGCATCACAGAAGACTTTTGCCGCAAAGTCTCGACGTGGGGCTTCCGGATAGTTTTATCCAAACTGGTCCAGGCAAAGTTCCTTGAAAGTGACGCCATGTGGGATGAGGCCATTGGGATCCTGTCGTCGTCCCAGTGGGAGACACCTGTGGACGTGGAGTGGCTGGAAAATCAAAGCTACGAGACTTTGTACACCAAGCTACAGGAGCTGCTGGGCTCCATTCCCATCGTGTGGCAGAACCCGGCATGCCGCAAGTTTGTGGCCACGCATTTCACTTGGCTGCTACGTCGGTTGGAATCCAAGCAAGGTCCCGCAAAGCAGATGCCAGGCCGCTTTTGGGAGGCATTTCTATGTGTGTGCGTGTGTCTAGGCAAGGAGCAAAAGCTTAAACGCTACAGTACGAGCAGAGGAAACTTTTCAGCTACGTCGACAAGCTGGTCGAGGCAAAGGCCATCTCGGCTGCTGATCAAGATCTCTCTCAGCAGATCTTGTCGGGTGCCCTTGAGGGCAACGATGTAGCTCGGACGATGGTGACTGGGATACTCAACAAAGCTCAGAATCTCAAGGCCGGCAAGAAGCGCGTCAATGCATCCAGCTTGCCAAATGTTGACGAGGGACGCATCGCCGAGCTCGGTTCTGCCTTGAGCTCATGCACCGGGCAAACCTCCTTGCTGAACCTGTTCGGCTACACTGCCCCAAAGGTTCCGGCTTCCTCAATGTGGCGCCCTGACCTCCCGTACTTCTTCAATCCGTCCACGGAGGAGCTGAAGCACAATGCCGAGCGGATCCTCGACATCATCGGCAGGGACGACCGCGATTATATGGTCTGCTTCGACGACACGCCCTTTTGGCCTCAATGGTGCATCCAAGCCTTTCCTGGTGCCTTGTATTTCATCGGAGGCACCGGGAACAACGCCAAGCTCCGAGTCAGCGATCATGCCCCCGGCACGCTGAGAAAGGAGGACCTGTCCCAACAGTGTGTCGCCTTCCTCCTTAAGAAAGCCAGCACACGAAAGCTCCCGTTCGACATGGCTATGATACCAAAGCGTCTGAGCGAGGTCACACTCGACTCTGTCTTTGAGCAAGTTGGAGCCGTGCTGAAAGCCGTGTGCAGTGCAGCACCGGCCCCGCCCTGCTGTGTGGCCTACGACAACCATGCTTCGCACGGTCTTTGCAACAACCTTTTTCCTAGGCTTGATGTCCAAGGAGCGGTATCAGAACGTGGCCTTCTTCAGGGAATGTGTGCCACATGCGAGGTCTTTGGACCTCCCGTGCTACCGCTTCGCTACCATGGCCTATCAAGGCAAGCACTGTGTGTTCGCGCACAACGACGCAGCCCACACACAAAAGTGCTTGACGAGAGCCCTGCGAGTGAAGAACCGAGTCCTGGAGATTGGCAAGCATCTGTGGATATCTGTGGCATGCAGTCTACAAGGCAAAATGCCTGCACCGACACAGCAGGAGAACATGATAGAACATGCAATCGCTTCCGAACTTGACATGCAAAAGCTCCTTCTGTCTCAGGCTCTCTCTCTCTCCCGCTTTGTCCAAGACCTGCACTTAGCTTCTGAGGTATATCGAAACACCGACTGACCGATGACAGCTCAATAAAGAAGCGATATAGCAGACCACCCCCCAATACGTTATCCCTCTCGTTGATCCCTAGGGACCCCACAGAACAATGTATTGGACCCCCCCCCGTGCCCCCCACCGGCAATACATTAGATAAGTAGGGGGGATACCTGTTATGCCGGAGCTGCGGAAGCTTGTATAGTTCAGATGCCGGAGACGATTTATGAAGACGCTTAGGACGCTGGAAACGCGTGCATGAGACGTTGAGACTCTCGAGATGCGCGAAACGCTAACACCTTTGAGGCGCTTGAGACGTTTGAGGCGCTTGAGGCGCTTGAAACGCTTGAGGCGCTTGAGGCGCTTGAGACGCTTGAGACGCCTGAGGCGCCGGAAACGCGTGACACGCTTAAACACACCTGAGATGCATCTGATGCCTCAGGCGCCAAGGATGGACTCTTCAGAGAGCCCGCCTCCCTGAACGGACCCGTGTCATTGGACCTATGCAGCTGGTGACTAATTTTTCATATCCTGCTCTCAATGCAGGTGCTGCTGCGAAAGATATTTACGTCTCGCAATGGTATAATAATCACCAAAGAAGTGCTTATTTTTAAACCCTGTATGCACCTTAAGTCCTATAAACTCAGATTCTATTGTTGAACCCTGAAGCTGGTTAAGTCCCTTCGTCTTGCCGCGCAACAGCTGCCGATGAAGATGTTGGAAGCAAAGGTTTGTGTCGGTATTTACGGTGGGCCCCCAGCTCAGGAAGTACGGAGCCCAGACATTCTCCAGGACCAACTTTGTGTTTAAATTCAAGACGATTCAAGACCATGTTAGTCTTGCTGCAGGAAAGCCCACGATTGTGTAATGACATGATCTGACGGAGTAGGCGATGGACAGGACTATGGCTGGGCCATGGATGCTTTTTCTCAGAACGGACTGGACCATGGATCTCAATATGGTGGAGCCATGGGTGCTCTCTTCTCAGAAAGGGGGTAGACAATTTTTTTCAATCTGGTTGGGCCACGCATGCTCTCTTGTCACAACGGGTTAGACCATGGACATCACTATGGTCCGGCCACGGATGCTCTCTTCTCAGAACAGATTAGACTATGGACATCATTACGGTTGGACCAGGGATACTCTCTTCTCACGCATTAGACCATGGACGTCATTATGGTTGGCCCATGGATGCTCTCTTCTCATAGCGCCTTTTTGACCATGGACATCACTATGGTTGGGCCACGGATGCTCTCTTCTCAGAACGGATTAGACCATGGACATCATCATGGTTGCCAGGGATGCTGTCTTCTCAGTTTCTCAGAACGGATTAGAAAATGGATTTCGATATGGCTGGGGCACGCATGCGCTCTTCTCAGAACGGATTAGACACTGGATTTCAATCTGGTTGGGACATGGCGAACGGATTAGATTAGGCCATGGACGTCATTCTGGATGCTTTCTTCTGAGACAGTGGGTGGCCCTACATTGATCAGCCCAGGAAACAAGCCAAGCTGCCTCTCCTAACCCAGAGCAACGTAACCGGCTTTGGGAGAACGGCCCGTTCTGAGACCTTCCCAGATGCAGTCATGGGAGAAGCTGTCTTTGGGCAGTTTTGGGTGTCCGGGGATGACCTTGGCTTCAAGAGAGCACTGTATCAGAGAGTGTTAAAGTCTTCTGGCCTTTGGAAAGCTGCGTCGAGCAACGGTAACAGCTACAAAAGCTAGGAACAGACAGGAGAAACTCAAACAGCACAGCCTCGTTACGCTGTCCTCCAGAATGTTGCGGATCACCTGCGGCTTCCCCTGCAGGAAGTGTGTGCAGAGATGGACTGACAAGCGCAAGAGTAGCGCATACAAACGCAGGGGCTTTCCTGCAAGGTGGACGCCTCTGTCTTTTTGTTCTGCAGTGTGTCCAGCATGCATCAGAAATCCGTTACCTTGCATCGGCCATATCGTAAGGGGTTCTGTGCACACCCCGTCGTACATAGGCAAGCAAGGATCTTGCCAACATCTTCCCCCCAAGCTTTGGGAAACCTTGGCGAGTTCGGGGCTCTTTACATCCTTGCAGCTTCCACATGTCCGCCGACTGTATCTCAGTAGGGCGGAAGTCAAACACTGCACGAGCAGTAATAAAATCAAAGCTGCGTGAATCACGCAGGTATTCCTTCAAGGGCCCGTGCAAATGCGACCCGACCCAATCCAAAACGCCGCTGTCGTCGATGGAGCTGCAGCCACGATGCACAGGAGCATCCAAGATAGCAATACCATGCAGAGCTTGTTTGCTACCGAAAACCAACCAGCAGCCGTCCTTCGCAAATTTGAGCATGTTCATGTTGTGGCTTCGCGATCGGTATCTTCGAGTTTCCACCCACTTCCCGCCTGCTAGGGCCTCAGACCATTGCTCTGTGAGGATGCGTAGATGAACTTCTTCTGGCAGGATGAGACCAAAGGTTTCTGCCTCGAGGCTTGAAACCCAGAACCATTGCTCTGGAAGGTGTTCTCCTTCTGCGTCTTCAGGCACCTCTGGATGTACTACCGGCTCCTCCAGGGGGACGTCGTCATCGGCAACCAAGGGGATCTCTTGCAGCACGCGCTGTCGCCCTGCAACAAAGAGGTGGCCAGAGTCAGCATCGCCTCGATGCGCTGCGCCAACAGAGAGTCATTGTCTGTCCAGGAGGGCAAGGCTTTGGAGTGGAAGTGGAAATAGTTGTAGCGCAAAAGAGCAGGTTGTACATGAATTCGAACCACTGCTTAGAGACCCGCCGTGCTGCGTCGGAGAAAGCTGCATCGAACTGCGAACAGAGTCTCTCGATGGCAACAGTTCCGCTACGCAGCGGGATTCCAGCATCGTGTATGGCCGATGCTACCTTGGCCCAGCAAAAAACCCACAGTTGACAAAAAAGGCTTTCCTGGCCCCCAGAACCCCAACGCCGCCCTGCCCCCTGGCCCTCCCTGGCCCCTTGACCCCCCCCCCTGTGTCCCCTGGCCCTACCTGCTTAAGGGCTTTGAGGCTTCAGTGTTTCAATCTTTCGGGCTTCAGTCACGGCTCTTGTGAAGGTCGTTGGAACAATGCTGCAACAATCAGACTTCGAGTTGAGTTTAGGTCGAAACCCTAAACCGTCAACCCCAAAGCCCTAAACCACAAACCCTGAACCCTAAACCCCAAAAGCCTAATCCCCTAATTAAACCCTAAACGCCCCCTAAACCCTAAACACACCTTACACCCTGAACCCTGGCCCCTAAGCAGTTTGGGTCTTCGGTCGTGGGGCTGGCGGTTCCCAAGGAGAGTTTCAGGTCAGACCCTAACATCGGGGCCCTTTTAATTAGAGCACGGCTCCAGGCTTATTAGAGTACGGTGATACAGAGGACCTAATTCTTGAGACCCCCATGCTACATGCTACGAGGATCAATAGATCAAAGAACTGCGACCAGAGGAAGCTTCTCCAAAACTCTCCAAGCCACCACCATGTCCTGCCTACCCGTATGCCGGGAAGCTTAGAACATAACGATTCTACGTATTGGTTCCTTAAACCCCAAACCCTAAACCCTGAACCTTTACTTAGCCCTCAACCTTGGGCTGTGAGGACCCCAATCCAAATCTTTTGCCATACTGCAGGGGCCTTAATCATTAGCTTTAGGGTTTGAGAGTCCGCAATAGTACACGTATACAGGACTATGAGGGATTCTGCGACTAGTTACATGGATGGTAACATAGGGCTCGAAGGGTACGTAGTACAAAAATTACGGAATCACGATCACTCAGTGTTCAACGACTACTTGGATAAATCTAGCACCACAGAAATATAGCTTCGTAATGGCGCTGGTCATAGTCACGAAAACATGGCACAGACAATGAGAGGATTTTGAGAGTGCCAATAATGCCAGTTCTTAATCCAAAACCCCCAAACCCTCGAACCCCTACAGTAAACCCCATAAGGTTGGAAACCGGAGTAAGGCCAAATAGTGCTGGGATTCCCTATACATTACTCTTAAGTATCGAGGCTATGAGGTTTCCAACTTTTGGGCTTCTGTAAACCCTAAACCCGAAACCCTAAACCCTGAAGTCACTGAAGCCCCAACCCCTAAACCTTAAACCCTAAACCCTAAAGCACAAACCTTCGGGCCCCTCTACACCCCATACGGTTGATGATATAAATCCTGCATCACTTTAAGGACCCTAAACCATGGGAATTATGGTATATTCCTTATTATGGGACATGCAGGATTTATATGATCTACCGTATTGAGCCTCCCTGTCAACCCGAAACCCTCTCCACCGCCTGCAAGGGCCCTCGAGCACGCGCAGCCACGGATGTTTTGTAGAAGCCACTGAGCCACGGCTACCGGCCGACAGCTTGGCAGTTTCTTTAGGGCTTCTAGGGTTTAGGGTTTAGGGGGGATTTTATGATTGCAGGCAGAACATGTCATGAACCTGTTGAAAACCCGACGTCAAACATATGCTGAGGGGGCAGGGCTCATGGGTTTGGGCACATTGGATTAAGAATTTGAATGCAGACTTGACTTCAACATGCTTGGTGTTTAATTACCCAGTCAAACCTGACGTTTGGACCTCTAGCGAACCTAAACCCTAAACCCTAATCTAGGATTTCCAAGGTCCTGAGCGTCCGAACTTACTTCCCTGGCTTTCTTAGCTGCCGCAGCACAGGCCCCGATGCGCCCCACCTCTGCAGCTTTTTCGAAAGACCGGCAAAGACAAGTGCTTATTCGCAGACTGAAAACCACCCGTGTTTCGGACGAGAGCATACTAGTATAGAGGACTGATTCTAGTCGCGAGTTTAGGGCTCGGAGTGGTCGGAGCTGGGGGAAACCGCTTTTTGCAAGTCCGCATTCTCGCCGGTCTGAGGAGATTTTCAGAAGCCCCTTAGACCCAAAATAAACTCGACAATGATGACAACAACGCTCTTGGTTTACACAATTATCAAATCCGCTGTGACTAGATTTAGTCTCGTTCTCTACCCTACAGTATGTTGCTATCTCTTAGCATCTTCGCACATGGCCTCCTGCGTCTGTGTGCTTACGAACTGCACACCTACCTACCCTCAACCCGAAACCCTAAACCCACTTCCCCCTCTCACTGCACGATGTGAACCAGCCGGTTCGAGTTCAAGGACTGGCAGGGGAGCTAGGGCAGAGTTGAGAAGGTCTGGAGTTCGGTATTTCGGCTCCGGCCCTTGTTGCGGTGTTGTGGTACGGGTCTACAGGGTTCAGGGTTTAGGGTCTACAGGGTTGGGCTTAGGATCTACAGGGCTTTCGGGTTTAGGGTTTAGGGCTCTGGGAGCAAATAGTACAGTAATGCTTGTGGCCCGGGCCTAGTGCTGAGGGCTTGAGGCTGCAAGGAACTTGCAAACCAGTCAGCTGCACAAGCCCCAGAATCAATAATGCCCGAAGAGACAGCAGCCGAAGCCTTGAAACGGAATTCCAAGTCCAACCTCTGTGCGGGTCTTCGTAAATCTGACGAAACAGGGTCGGTGAGCAACAGGCTGGTCTCACGCCCCGCGTGGCATAGACGTAGAAAAACACAAGGGTACGGAAGTAGCACTGGTACGAGCTCTCGTACTTGTACCCACAACAGTACTAACAAAACCAGTAGTAGTCGTGGAAGTGGTGGGAGTAGTAGTGGTAGTAGTCGTCGTCGTCGTAGTAGTAGTAGTAGTAGTAGTCGTGGTGGTGGTGGTGGTGGTGGTGGTGGTGGTGGTGGTGGTGGTGGTGGTGGTGGTGGTGGTGGTGGTGTAATTAAATAATTACGTACGTAGTAGTACTACTGGCAGCCACAGCAGTCGCAGTAGCAATTTCAATCGTGACGACATTGCGTTTGTGGTAAGGCTTTCGTGTAGCCTGGTACTGCTTTGAACACCTTTGCGTCATTGCTTTTGACCACTGCACTCCCAACATGGATGACGACTGCAATCACTCGTTTGTTGCAGCATCTAGTGCCACGGAAACCGGCAGATATCAAAACGACCACAGCAATGATTGCTGCTACTGCTACTGCTCATTCCATGCTTGTGCACAACAACCAACACCACCACTTTAGCTGCTGCTAGTATGTTGGCAGCTTGTAGAGTAGATACTACTAGCGAGTACTCCTGCGGATTCTTGCCGCTGATGCTGACCAGCCGTGAACGCATGATGGTCATGTGAAGACGAAGACGGTGATGATGATGATGATGATGGCAATGGTGATGAAAGTGGTGAGAGTGGAGATTATGCTGCTAATGAGCATGCTGCACATCATGGCTTTGGGGGTGAGGGTACAGTAGTGGGGGTTCGTTTGGGGGTGTGGGGTCGGCGGTTGGGGTGGTGGCAACCCGGGAATGACAACCACCGCTTTATTTATGGATATTCATTCATAACCATAATGAAAGCAACGCACCACAATCGGAGGGAGGCTGCGAGCATTGGATAATCCAGTCTAGAAGGCCTCTTGCGGCCATGGGAAATTTTACACTCTGGGCTTTAGGATTCACATGGATTCATCAGACAGTTCAGACTTGCTTTTTCAGGGCCAATGGTGGCACCTCGTTCGGTGCTGGCATCGTTCGTGCTGCCTCCAGGAGCCACGGCTCAGTTTGTGCAGATAATAACGGCAGACATTATCACGGCGGGGTTTTGGGCCATATTATGGAATGATTGTAGCGGGCAAGCCCTACAAAAACGCTTGTTGGTAGTTATTCAGGCCACGATACCAAAAATGACTTGGAGAGCTTAGTTGCATTTCATCCACATTGGTGGGACTTGAGCAGCATTCGAAGGTTAGTTTTGAGCAGGTTTGTTCAAAAGGAAGTTCTCACTGATTGGGCAAAGTTCAAGGCCTGTGGTAAAGGGTGTTTATATCGGCTCACAGGGAAATTATGAGAATCTTGGCCGAAGCCGCTAACACCACGACAGTTATGCAATGGTTGCGTGACAAGGCGTCTGCTTTCGGTAAGAGTATCTTGCTCAAGCACAAGGCCGCGAAGCTATAACAAAGCCTGGAGTTCTGCACCATAGGCTGCTTCACATCGATCCCTGTAGATCCCGTATAAGCCCCTATAGATCCCACATAAATCCCCAGAGATCCCTCATAAAGACCGGCTGGGAATTAGGACTTTAGGGTTTGGTGCGGGGTAGACCGCGGAACGCTCTATGTCCCGTAGTTCAGGCCCCTACCTCGACCTCTAGAAGGAGACTGCCTATGACTTGCGGTATAGTGCTCAAACAAAGGCTCAAAACCCGAAGCCCTGCACCCTAAAACCCCGAACCCCAACGAAAGGACCTCTGTAATCTTAGTTGCTGGGTTCACAAGCCCCAAAGAGTGTACACTTTTCGTTTTATCGTGGGTCATATTATCCCCAAAAAGTGTAAAGTGCATCCACTCAGCTACTAAGTACTAGACCCCTGAGCCCTTTAAACCTCGGATAGCCAACCCTGAAGCCCCCAAGGATTGAGGGCTTAGGGCTTGGGGTTCAGATGGGTTTAGGGTTTAAGGGAAAACATGGCTTCCCTCATAGAGCCCTTATGGAGCCCTGGAAAACCCACCTCTTGACATAAATTCATATTCACATATATACACACCGAAGAGAACTCCCTAAACCCTACACCCTAAACACTGAACCCTAAACCCTAAGCCCACCTGGCGGGGCCCTGCGGCTCCAGGCGCCAGGGGCCTCTTCGCCTATGCCCGGTGCCGGCTGCGCTGCGAGGTTTTCGAGGAGTTTGAAGCCGGGGATTTCAAGGCCACAATCGGATTCGAAGCCCGTTTTCCTATGATTTTAGTGTGGCAATAAAAGTGCTTTTCTAGGGCTCTCCCTAAACCCTAAACCATGGGCCCAAACAAGGCTCCCTAAGGGCTTGATTTGGGTTTTTGAGGCTTTGGCAGGCTCAGGGTTTGAGGGCTGGGCGCTCGGGATTGGGCTTTCAAGTTTTGGGGTGGGGTTTGAGCATGAACCAGTGTATACATATACACACATATATAATACAATAAAAAACATAGACATGTGTATATATATATATATGTATATACCTCCATGATTTGAATAGGGTGCTGGGGTATAGTCGATTAGAAAATTCAAGGGGAACACCAAGGAGTGTGGTTTGCCGCGTCGTACGTCTCGAACCGCTCCAGTACGCTCTGCACCCTCGACTTGTACGCCCTGTACTGCCTCATCGTCTTGTGTCAGGTCTGCGAGAGCCTTCGTGGACATTTCCCGCTTGAGCTTTGCGCTTCCGGTCCACTGTTCACACATTGCCCACACTCCGTCCTCGACCGTCTGCTTGCTGTCGGAGCAGACTCGACATTGAGAGAAGTCTATCCATTTCACCGCTCATCATCCCCAGCAGGTCTCTAAACGAGATCGATCTGCTGGCCTACTGGGTCCCGCCGCCGCGTCTTCGGCGGCCGCATCACGCGCCTTCGTCAGCCCCTGCCGCCTGCGTGCGAATGCAACTGCATGCAGTGGGATCGCATGCGTGAAGCTCCTCACACCGGCCTGTGGCTTCTTTTCGGCCAGTGGGGGAGTTTGCTTTTCAGGTTTCGCGCTTCAAGTGTCTCCAAGCTTCTGATTTTAGGAATGACAGTGTTATGTCAAGCAAAGAGGTGCGTCGCAGGAGACTGTGGAAGTGATGAGTTTACGAGGAGCAGGCTGTGACGAAAAGCGAGGATGGGGAGCAGTGGTGATCCGATAGAAGTTTCTGATGCTGCTACTGTTGCCACCACCACCACCACCACCACCTCCACCACCACCGCCCCAACTGCCAGAAGTCGCAATGAACAAATGAGAACCGCAACAGCTTTTAATGGTGCCACCCCCGTCTCGCCGGAAGCCTGGTCGTAGTCACCAGTGGGTGAAGAGTCCACCTCGGCCGGTGTAGGGGCGTAATGATTACTGTGGACAGCTGGCGGGTTGTAGGGTTTAAGATATAGAGTGATGGCGTGGACTCGAGCCTGCAATCAGGTTGATGGGTATGCCTGGACATTGAATGTTCTACGCACTTTGGCGGTTGATGCCATGGGGCGTGTTGTCGAGTCCCTACTTGAATGCGGTCCCCGATCCTACACCCGGAAACCTGAAACCCTCAAACAGCATTCTGCGTTTGCAGACTGGGTTTAGGGCACGTTTGCGCTGCTGCCTTGCTGTGCCAGTAAACACGGATCCATGTAGCTGGGTCTTGTCTTCCAAGGATTCAGAAAGATTTACTTTCTTTAGGGGGGTACTGTAAGGGCACTTCGGATTGTGCAGCAATCCTCCTGCTCACTGAGGCTTATAGACGATACCTTCGCTAATCAGATCTACTAATTTAACTGCAAACCCAGGCATAACTTCGGAAACCACGAACCGTGGCTATCCAAAACCCTGAGCGGTGCAGGAACCCTGCACCGCAAAGCTTCCGAAGGAGTTTCACACAAGTACCTGGCCGTCATATAGACCAAACTAGTGCGCCTACTGTATGAACCCCTACTTGGAGCATCATGGGACTTAGCAACTAGGCTTATAAACAAGGTAACTGTAAAGATATAGTTACTTGTAACCCCCATTAAGGTACTTATAATCTTGCTTACTAAGTCGCATGTCCCATGATCCTACAATCTACAAGTAACTTTAAGCAGAAACAACAGATCTTCCAGAAGGGACTAGAATAACAAGAAGACACCTCTGGGCCCCATGACTTGCCGCTGTGCCGGCATGGATGCGTAAGGCGACTCCTTGCGGGGTTTAGGGCTTCAAATTTAGGGCACAGGATTTACGGTTGGGGGCTCTAAAACCCGAAACCCGGATCCCTAAGCCCCTAACGAAGCTCTAAAACGCCAAACCCTGAACCCCCATCTGGCAAGAACGTGCGAACCCTAGAGCCCTTGAACCCCTATAAACCCTAAACCCGAGTCCCTCAAAAAAATCTTATCATTGCCTGTACTTCCTGTTCTTGGTTACTTTACAGGAAATCTGGGAACCTGAATAGCATATCGGCTTCTGATCAGTTTCGGGCGCCGGGGCCTTCAAAACTATGGAAAACGTCCCCTCGGCCCGGAGTGCCCGGAGTCTTCGGTCTTGCTTTTTCCCCTTCCTTCGGAGGCCCACAGGGTTTAGGGTTCAGGGTTTAGGGTTCAGGGCTTAGGGTTTAGGGTTTAGGGTTCAGGGTTTGGGGTTTAGGGTTTAGGGTCTATGGCCTGTGGTTTCCATTGCAGTTCCATTTTTTGGGGTTTAACCTTGTTTTGAGGGGTTCGGGCTACGGGCTATGGAATCCTGCACGAGTTGACTCGGTTTTGTTTGGGCCGCGGCGACGGGGGGCTGTATTATACCAGTATGTCTGGAAGGCATACACATGGTATTGTTTGATTGATGAGGACCCCATGTTCCCCTTTGCCTTGTTTCAGCATGTTTCATCTACAGCAGCAACTGCGCATCTTGATGCTTGGTGGCCTGTGGGTTAAGGCTTTGGGGGCTTGCGGTTTTAGGCTTATAGGCAGTAGGGTTTAAGGTTCAGGCTTCAAGGGTTTAGGGTTTGTAAGTCATACTATTACCATTACTTACTGACCTATTCTGGATACTCCCAAACCCTTAACCCCGAACCCTGTGACTGCTTCTTGGCACCCAGTACGGTTGATGATAGAAATCCTGCATTACCCATAATAAGGAATATACCATAATTTCCATACCTTAGGGTCCTTAAGGTAATGCAGGATTTATATCATCAACCGGTAGCAGCAAAAAAGTAGCACAGCAGCAGTTCTTTCAAGGTAGACAAGCGAAGCTCCGATATGGGTGGTTGTCAAAATTAGGGTCCCCTTTTGGGGGTCCTTATTATAGTACGGCACCCTACATTTAGGGTGCCCAAAAAGGGACCTTCATTTTGACAACCACCCACATGATCTTCTCCTCATCTGGATTGATGTGACAAACCCTGAGACTCCAATATCCCTTAATTTAATTTAGGGAATATTCCTTAGTTAAGGGGTATTGGAGTCTCTGGGAAATGATGTGTGCTTTCGCAAAGACATGATGGAAGAAAGGCTCTCTGCGGTGAACGGGTCGCGTTTGCTTGCCAGATATCCTCCGTGGGTGTTCAATGCGTTCTGGAACATCATGTAGTAGCTCATCTGGAATACGGTTGATGATATAAATCCTGCATTACCCATAATAAGAAATATACAATAAATCCCATAGTCTAGGGTCCTTAAGGTCATGCAGGATTTATATCATCAACCGTATCACCTGGAAGAGCGGTTGCCTCTGAAGGAGCCCCCAAAGGAGTCCGCAAAGGTCCACCTGCCCTCACATATCAAGTCTAGAACCCGAAGGGTCCATATATACTACTATTATGGAAATTAGGTCCCCAAAACCATAATAGGGATGGCCTGTTGGGACCTAATTGGGAGTTTCCGAAAATAAGGGTACCACGTTTTGCAGTCCTTACAATAAGGATCCTACTATTTAGGGTACCATGTTAGGGTCCCCTATTTTCGGAAACTCCCAGTTCCAGAAGGGTTGTAAAAAATGGACCCTCTGGGGAAGGGAGGCCCCCGGACCTCAAATCCATCCAACATACTTCAGGGTTCAGGGTTTTAGGGTCCCAAAGAAGCACAGAAGCAACAATTAGGATAGGGATATCCCATATAAACTGCCTTATAATGAAGCCCAATAAGGTAGGGATATCCCCATAAAATGCTTATGCTTATGCGCTTTTGGGGTCCCTAAGGTTTCGGAGACCGAGGGGTGTGGAAGGGGGGATCAGAACCATGATCCTAAAACAAGAGCACCGTAAACCCCTCCACTCGACCCAAACACCTCGCAACCCTAAACCCTAACCCTTGAAGCCTAAACCCTGAAATCCGTCAGCCCGCTATCTTGAGCCGAAAGACCGAAATCCCAAGACCGAGCCAGCCTACCGTCCTTTAGGGTTTATGGTCTCGCTTCCTTGCCTAACTTGTCTTGGGCCTTCTGGATGCTTTCAGGCCCCCAACCGTCCTGCCCGGGTCCGCCCCGTAGAGGAAAGGCCTGAGGTTGGATTTTAGACCCCTTAATTGAGGAATATGGCTTAACTTATACAGAGCTTCATATTATGATTTAAGCTGTATTCCTTAATTAAGGGGTATTGGGCTCTCTGGGGGAGTCTAGGGTTTAGGGTTGGGTGGCACCAGGTAACCCAGAGCCTCCAAAACCCCTTAATTAAGGAATATACCTTAAACTATATTAGGGATCCTATTATGATTTAAGGAATATTCCTTAATTAAGGGGTTTTGGAGGCTCTGGGAAGATGTTTAATCAAGCTCGGCGAGACCGAAGAACTGTTGCATAGTGTGCGAGAAGTGCTTCATGCCGGGCAAGGATCCCAGGATCTGGGGTCTACATTGTGACCTGGTTTTCTAGGACACAACCCACAAACACAAACTACGTGTAAAAAACAACAGAAATCCTGAAAAGTATGAGTCTCATATCCCTGAACAATCCGCAGGTCTAAACTCAATAACCCCTACAGCTACACTCTACACCAATAAACCTGCATAGACCGTCACTCCTAAACCCTGAATTGCTCTCACGGCATGGTTGATGGCTTAGTTCTGATTTCTGACTGCTCGGCAGTCGTGCGTTTGTCGAACCTTCGTGCGCTCTTAGAGCGAGGCTTCGAACCTGAATGCTTCGGTAGGAGAAGGGATAGCTGCGCCACACAAGGTGTTGGATTGCCTCTAGAGGGTCACGAAGGAGAGTGTCATGCAGAGTATCAAGCACCATGAACGGCTGCCCGCAACAGCCTACACCCTTGAGCCTTCTTCCTTGCCCCAATACAAATGCACTATACGTAGCACCCAATGACCGAAACCTTGAACCCTAAAATACGTTGGGCTCATGCCTTCGAGGTCAGCTGGGGCTTAGCTGCCAGGATGTCTCGGCCCGGCAAAATACGAAAGTCCTAAAACCGAAAGGCAGAGCTAAAGCTACTCTAAGGCACATGCGCCTGTCAGTATTCCTCTCTCAGGAAAATGCGCTAGAATTGCAGATTGTCCTGTGGTCGCTATAATAACATATATCTATACATGGATAGATAGATAGTGTGTGTGTGTTGTCGACATCTAGACCTTTCCGCTGCTACACATGCTTGCATCCGAAATGACAAGCCTGCCCAATCCGCACACAAATTGAGTCCCGAATCGGATCGAACCTCTGTGTACATCGCGCGATGCGGATACGCCTGTGACCCAATGCCAGGGTTTAGGGCCTCGGGTTTAGAGTTTAGGGTCTCCAAGCTGGCGACCCAGTTCTTTTTCCTGCAGGGGCTTGGGATTCCCTGGCTCCTTCGTCACATAGTAAGGCCTCAAACCTTCGCCTGTCCTGAAGCATGCATAACCCGAAATAAGGACGGTAACTATACGTCACTCACCACAACAACACTGCATCTCTTATCACCACTAATACTAGTGAGTAGTGTATCAGTGGTACAGCTTAGAAGAGTAATTGCTATCATCAGTATGAAGTCAGAACAACGGAACCGAAAGCTGATGGTAGCCTCTGGCTTAAATAAGACCTCCGCCGCCGAGACGCTTTGGGGCTGTCCTACAATAAGCGAGCCCCCGCACCGCCATTTCGGGCAAGACTCTGCGGGAGGCACTTAGGGCGCTTGGGGAAGACCGTTCCTCGAGAAACTCCAGATCCTGAGAGGGCTCCTTTTAAAGGGGCCTATAAGGATTACCATAAGGGCTACTATAAGGGTTACCATAGGGGCTACTATAAGGGCTTAGATGGAATGTAGGGGCCTTAATGATTGGAGTAGGGCTCCTGAGCACTAAGGAGCAGTCCTTCCTGGCTTTTCGTTCAAGGACACCTGGGGTTTCTAAGTTCGCAGCTTGGCTCGGACGCCTCTCGGATCCTAAACTCCCTAAGCCCTGGAAAACCCTACAAGCCTGTAAACCCTAAACTCCCAAAACCCTATACAAACTTTACAGAGGACCTAGCCCAAGGCCTCCGGCATCGTCGATGCGCGGTCCGGCGCAGGCTGAAACCTACTCTTCGCACATTT